TCGTGGGGACCGGGTGCTCTTTGGGCCCCACAACTTCAGAGGCTGATTTTGGGAGTGGGGGTTGAGTTTAGGACCAAGGTGTGAATTGAGTTTAGGTTAGTTTTAGGGTCAGGTAGGTACCTGTGAGGTTAGCCTTAGGGTTTGTGGTCAGGGTTAGGCTTTAAATTAACAAAAAATGAATGGAAGTCAATGGATGGGCCCCACAAGGGTATAAAAACAAGTTTGTGTGTATGTGTGTGTGTGTGGCGCACGCGCGTGTGTTTGTGGGGGTGGGTAGTGCAAATAAATCCACCTGGATGGCAAACAGTAAATACATTATCTCTGTTATAATGGAAGAGAAAACAAGTGTAAAATGACAGAGGACTCAGCTGCAGATGACAAAAGTGGCTTGTTGTCAGACCTAATTCTAACACAGCCTTATGATAATCACCATTTGATTTGCCATTATTATTAATGTGCTGAAAAGGGCTGTGAAATTGTCATTTGGAACGGGGGGGGGAACTATGATCTGAACGCACATGCTGCTTTCGCTCGCTCCTCTAAGGCAGTCGGCTAACTCAATTTATTGTTATTAATGTTTACAAACTGTTGATAGCCGGCGAACACATTAGGCTGATGGGGAAATTACATTTAACCCAGCTGTTCAAATATCACTTCCTTATTTACCCGCCACAATTCCCAATTAAACTGCAAAGAAATTGATTAAGCAAATCTACAATAATCATTTTTATTTCATTAACTACGCTGGCAGAACAAGGAGTTTTTGAAGGATGCGCTTTATCTAAAGAGACTGGAAATAATTCTGCTGCTCGGCATGTAACTATAGGAGGGAACAGCTTCTTTTGAAATAACAGCAGCTCATGGTTTATTCCTAATTATTTTTTGACCAAATTGTTGTCTCAACAGACAAACAAGGTCAACACACGCAACCAAAAAACTCAGTTTTAAAGTAAAGGCAGTACATGAACCTCCATTATGCATTTATAAACTTAGCACACAAAAAGTAAGAAAATTTGAGTTTGGCTGATTATTTCTTGTAACAATGCTTCTCAGCAATAAATCTTATACCAACCTCTGTTGCATAATGAGTAAAAAACAAAGAAACCATGCCTTGCTGGCTCAGCATGGCATGCAGACCCTTAGAAAATTGTATCAAAATCTTATGTTGTATATATGAAAGGGGCAGGACTTAAAACTTATACTTGAAACAGCTTTTTGAGATGCTGGTCCTATCCTGGCTTCAACTTTTGGGTTGCTGTCAAAATCAAGATATAAACAGTCTATGGGTACAACCAAGAATCTACAACAGGGGGAAGCCAGGACGACAGGTCTGAGAATGGAGTCTAATCCCCATTGAAAAGTCCTGATAAATTGAACACAAGGCCAGCTATACTGATATTGAGACTTGGTACCTCCTGCCAAGGCTAAGTGATAAATACCTTCTGAAAGCCAGCTAGAAGATATGAACTAACCATCTCTACTGGTCCTATCTGCTAWACGCCAAGATGTCCATACATGGTGGAGGTTTTTGAGTTTGGCAAARCCATGATCGGTTGGATTGACTTGTGGGGCAAGTTATAACTCCTCCTTGTCTTGAGTTGTGACTGCAAATAATGTTTATATTTAAAGTTATAGGTGCTTTCYGAGCAGTTTTAACGAGCTACACGTCCCTGCCWGCTGCCCAWTGTYCAYCCACCCAAAAYAGTCAATCTGACCAATCACGTCTTTATCAAAATCCTCCCACAAAAGYMAAACAAACCAACCATGTCTTAGACAAACTCCTACCACACACCAAGAACYTCCCACTTAGTGACTGCAGAGACCCCCCTTTCTCTAGAAAGGGGCAATCCCATCCAACTACTAACCAGTCACCACCTAAAAGTAATAACCAGCCAATTGCAACTCCAATCAGGCTGACGATGAACGGGCTAATGGTTCAAAACATGAGCAGAATGGAATTTGCTTGTTGACAGAATCGTTTTTCAAGACTACAGAACCAGAAACACAAACCTGCTTAGTGACTCATGAAAGCTGATGACTTGATGCCACACGCGTGGACCCTGAGTGATTGAAACTACAAACAGGACATTTTAGTTGGACAAACTGAAAGGTTCCTGGGATGCAATAAATGTTTCCTCATCTAARTTTCTTTCAGAGTTTGCATGTTTGCCTGTTTGCACCGACAGAGGGTGTGTAATGRTACACGAACATATACAGGTCTACATACAGTATATACAGTGTGTACTGAATGCATATTGTGTTATTGTATCTTACTTTACAATGCAGGACTTTTTATTTTAGGGCTTTGATTACACAAATGACCCCTTACCGCCCACCCACAACCCACGAACCACCATCACCRCTCTTATGGTTAATACCACAGCAAATGAGATTTAACATGATGTCAAAGCAGAATACAATATTCCAGCATCAACAGACAATTAATTTCCTCTGCAATCACGCAAACATGCAGCGCAGAAC